ATTTATTATATGTTTAGATATTTAATTAATTTAAATAAAAATAAATTCAAATTTATTTAATTAAATTTTGATAAATTTGAATAGATTCATATTTTTCAAATTAATTTCAATTATTTTATAAATGTTTTTTTAATACTGTCTAGTTAAGTAGCAAATTTGCATATTTTGAATAAATTCGAATTAGTTCGAATCACATCAAAATATTTCATAATAAATTACATAATATTTCATAATATATTTCATAATATTTTATAATTAAAAATTTTAAAATATTCTGCATCAATCGTAATTATTGCAGAATTTTTCGGGGCGCAATAACTTTTGTAAGATTACGTTTATATATTTTGCTGATATACTCAGAACTTGCCAAGAAGGAATCTGTATGTCCCAGTTCTTGGATTTACACAAATGCTTCTTTCAGATTTTGTGTAACTTATGCATTACACTATAGTTCCACATTTTTTCAGTACAAGCTGGTATGACCAAAGCTACAGATATGATGATTTATCAGATTATACACAGTCTGTCATAAAATATTCTGTAAAATTCGAATTTTGTCACTAGTGGAATTCAAACTCTTGTCCTGCTGCTTAGGAGTGCAACAACTTACCAACTTCATTAAGTTGCCACACCCTCAGCATGTCTTTATTATAAAAATTAATATAGTATATATATATTATATATAAAATAATAATTTTTATTTAAAACAAATTTTATTACATATTAATATAATTTGATTAACTATAACTGGTAGTAATTATTACTGGTATGTAATTAACCAATAATTATTACTGTGTAATATATAAATTAGTTTATATAACAAAAATGAAGATTTTTTTTAAAAAAATGCTAATATTTTAAGAATTTGTTTATAAAACATTCTAACAAAAAAATTTCTTGTTAGATTTTGTATATATTTAACATTTTGCTAAAATCCCAGGCCTCACTTTAACCCTAAAATGAAATAATTTTTTTTGTTTTATTATTCTTTGCTAATTATATACTGGTAATGATCACTGCCAATTATTTGTAGTTAAATTTTATTAATATACAGTATATAAAATTTAAAATATTATATATAATTTTTTAAAATTATAAATCAAATAAAAACCTATTCTAACAGACTTGCTGCTTGAATAAAAGGCAAAAATCTGTAAAAGATTTTGTTAAAATATTCTGTACTTGAGTTATTATATAATTGATTGCATAATTTAAAAATGAGCAATTAACAAATAAAATCACTGGCACATAAGGCCACACAAATTTAATTTATTCATGAAATTTTTAAACAGACCCGGCCGGCCGGCCGGCTTTTTTTAAAAAAATTTCATATATAAAAATATTATAAAATTTTTATAAATTTTTTTTAAAAAACCCACCCGGTTATTAAAACTTATAAAAAAATATTTTTACAAGTTTTCGAATTTCGACCCGGCCGGGTTATGAAAATCAATTATTTAATTTTGCATGGCCTAACTAGTGTTCACATGATTGGTTAAATTTCTTTGCACCAAATTCTACCTTACTAATAAAATTACCAAACATTGATTCCTTATAACTTTTACAAAAAACAAGATATTAAAAATCTGGCTTATAGATTTATAGTTTAATTTATAAATAAAAATTGATAAAAGGAATTTTTAAAATAATCATTTGTTTAAACATTAAAAAAATTGAATGTTTTTTGTTATTCCATACTGTATAACGATAATTACATAGTCATGTAACATAATCTAATTTGTAATTTTTATATAAACTAAATATTTATCATATTACAACGTTAGTTGTATAATAAATATAGCACATATCAAAGCATAAAATATTGAATTTAAAAGTTCCAATGTATGCGTTCCGCTGTAATCTTAAAACTTATGTGTGCGAAGTGCACACTTGTTAATCTTCAAGGAACGAAAAAATTTTTTAGTGTGCGCTCTACCCCTTCCGCACATTAATTTTAGACACTGTATGGAATATAATAATTATATTTTATAAGATTATTTTCAAGACAAAGAACCCATAACTACAAAAAAAAATATTAATATACTTTGACTATTAGGTCCTTGCAACTTATCTGTTGTATTACTACTCCGACCATTATCTGACTCATTAACGTTAATAGTTCGTGATACTATTTTACGTAAAAAAGATTTGATCATCAATGCATATGTCAAAAGAATTGCTACATAATATACAGTATATATGTATAATATATATATATTTACTTTGATTATTAGATTCTTGCAACTCTTCTGTTGCGTTGGCATTCCAACTATTATCAGCTAAGGTGAGATCACTTGTTTCTTCGTTTGTCAAATTAAAATCAGTTTCATTATCTTTCGAACTATGTTTTGTATTGATATCTCTAATCACATTCGTAGCAAACTTATTAACAGTCTGTAATTCTATTTTTTAAAAAATTTAACCATCAAATACACATAAACAAAAAGAATTAAATTGCTATTTAAAAAAAAATTTCTTTCAACATTACCAATAATTTCAATATCGTCTTCTATTATATCTATAAACAAATTAATCATTAATGTTTTACTACGTTCGTTAAACGTTATTGTAATGTCAAAAAAATGTACGAACATACCTTCAACAGTAGAGATGGAAATAATGTCAATATCATCATACAACATTATTATAACATCCGTAAAACGATTCGTTTTCACTTTTTTAAGAAAAGTAAAAGAGAATTAATTCGATATCACTCATCATTGCATATTATATATCGATATAGTACGATAATGATCTTATGCGTAATCTTACATACCGGGTATTTGATAAGTCCCTGGACAGGATCTTTTTATTGATCACTTTGATTATCAAAAGTATTACGTTCTTTATTAGTAAAAAGGATCTATCTAGATACTTTTAAGTGATTAAACAAAAAGTCCTATCCAGGGATTTATCAAACACCTGGTCTATATAATAAGGGGTGCTGCGCTGTATAAATAATCGAAAAAAAAATACAGTACGAAATTTTCTAACATACAAATGTGGCAATTCGGTGGATATGATACCCAATATAAGAAAAAAAATCATCAAAATTTTACTAAGAAAAACCATATGTAAGTATCTTGAGTAAAAAATTGTTATACATATGAGTGCTGCCAAGGGAAAATGTAACTTCGGACTTTCAATTACATTTTGACCGGACACAATCCTTAATAAATTAAATAGAAAAGAGTCCGGTCAAAATGTAATTGAAAGTCCGAAGTGACATATTTTCTCTTGGCAGCACTCATATAACTACACATGTTTCTAAATCTAACCCTAACCTTAATATATAATACAGGTAATAGAGACATAATTTATACTATGATATAGATCATTGCTGATTTTTGTATGGATCATTTCATACATCATCATACAGTACAAATTAATGCACCCCTATTAAATCCACTAATTATAATCATTTTGACTAATGCATACATATTTAGATGTGCGAATGATTAACCACCAAATATTCTTAATTTAATCATACAGACCCCTTCCGATCACCATGAACACATTGTACTTCTTTATTCTCGTAAATTATTTTATTTACTAGAAAGGTTGACTAAGATCCAACTCTCGCAGATTCACATTAAATGTTGTATAAAACATTTCATTACGAATATTTGTTGTTAATACACAAAAATACTTGGTCATCCTGGAAATAAGAAGTAATTTACGTAAGTTGAATGACATAAATATCGTTTGAGTAATTACCATAACAATATTGCTTACAAACCGTTAATATTAAAATTTTCCGATGTGCGTTTATGCACAGATCAAAAAAAAAAGATAGCCAGGTAATTAAAAAAAATAACTTTAATTAATTAACTGTTATAGCAAGTAAACCCATCACGTTATACCAGTAATATTATTATAGTAAGATTTTCAATCTAAATATGTTTAGCGTTTAGCGTTAGGTGATAATCTTGTGTTTGTGTACTGTTTCTATATTATATATAAATAAATATAAATTAATGCAAGCCTGAACGTTACATTATTTCTCCTTGATTATTTTAAAAATAATGGATTCCTTTCAACAAGTCGATTCTTTTCAACAAATTGACGAACTTGTTAAGGAGTATCTGTTAGTAAGTTATTCTTTAATTATAAATTAAACTTAGAAAGTTTTTCATAAAATAAAAATGTTAAAATTTTGATTTATATGGGAAATAGTTCAGAGGATTTTCTGCTACTTTTCGTTCTTTTGAATCAGAATGCCGGAATGATAAAGATAAAAGATTTCAGGTATAATAATTAATCAGATCCTTGATCTATTTGTTGGATATGTTTCTAAAGTTTCTAAAGTACATTGGCTTTTCATAAATATAGGCTGAAAAAATTATTGAAGAATTATTTTCATTTATCACGAATAGTGATGTAAATGGATTAATGGATTACTGGAGATATCTTGATCTAAGATATTTCTCAAGATTGGATGCTAGATTTTTTGGAAGTGTTAAGAAATTTGAAGAGTGTCTCTTAAAATATTACCTTGTTTATGGTAAATCTTTCGGTTCATTATTCGTTATTGTCGTCGTTACTCTGACGGCTTTGTGATATGATTAATAATTATTTAACATCACTCGTTTCTTGAAACGATTAGCAACACAACAAAAACGAAAAGAAAAAGTTTTTGAGTTCTTTGATACATTTGGAACAGAATTAAATGGAAATTCAGAGTGGACAAAATGGTTTGGTAGGAATTCTAGAATTCTACAATTAGTTTTAAAGTTATCACAAAAATATCCTTCTTCATTTACAATATTCTTATTAATCCGATGAACTACTATTACATTAATAAGGATTACCATTTTCGAAAGATCCGACAAATGATCCAAATTTTGAAATATTTTTTTCTAAACAGTGGTTAGAGATGTTTACAACATCTCTACATAATTTTCTTAGCACAATATTTAAAAATATGCGTATCCTTTATTCTCATGATTATCAAAAATGTTCAATAGCTAATTTAAATCTTATAATTCGCGCAGAAATTTTAATTTATTATCTTTGATGTCAGATAACTTATTTTAAATACTTTGGTGGAAAACTGGTGAATTAGCTTTACCAAGTTTATTATGTTTCCCTTTGGATCGTCTTCAGCGATATGCTTTAGAAGATGAAGTTCAGTCTCTTCATCATGAAATAGATAGTATTAAAAATGGTAAAACAGATACGGAGAGTACTGATACTGAGATTAAGCAAAATGTTTGATAAATTTCTTTCATTATCTATATTACTTGTATTTTCTTATTATATTATCTGATACTATTTTTAATTAACAGCTCAGCAGATCACAGGAATCAACAAACCATACAAGGATGTTAAACCGTGCAAAATCTTTGTTTGATCAAAAAGAGAAGGATTCGTAAGTCTTGTACTAAATTATACTAAATTATATACTTGAATCTTTGTTTGATCAGCTCTATCACATCAATTTTCGAGTCATTGCAACTTTCCATCACTTTACTAGTGAGCATACATATTTTAAATATCTTTTAACGTTCTATATATTAGTGAATCAACACTTATCAAATATATCATTAATTTTCAGATAAAATCTTTCTTTTTAAAAAAAAGTTTTTCACGTTCACAGTCCACTACTCCAAATAAAGGATTGGTTGTTATTTCCGATCATTACGGAGTAAAATCACCTGAGATATATGCAGATGATTTGAGTCTGACTCCAATATCGGAATATGCTATAGATAATTCGCAAGAATTACCTGGTGAAGATATTAATCCGTTTACCATTATGAATCAGGTTTGTCATAAATATTTGATAAATCAGGTTTTATCAATTACAAAGTTCTAAATATGCGTTTAATATTTGAAGGAAATATATTTAGAGCATACATCAGGAATATCACTTGCTAAATTCTCACATAAGGGTAATTTAATCGTGAGTTGTGATGTAGATAATATTGTTAGGTAAAAAATCGTTATTTTCTCTTATTTAAATTCAGCACATTATAATCAGAATTGGTCAAGCCATAAATTTGCTGGTCGTAAATCGAATGACCTCTGGTCAAACTGGTCAAATAGTCTAATTTATTGTTAAATAATTTGGTCATACACAAACACATTATATATATCACCTACACACACAAACCATATATATATAATTTGACAAAACTATATACCGGGGTATTAGAAAAGTTCCTATACACGATCCCTATTTTTAAGTATGATAACATTTATTGAGATCATGACGATTTGAATATTGGCATAAATAATTATCGTGATTTAAAAAAGAGACTGTATAGGAAATTTTTGAATACCTATATATATATATATAATTGTACCGACTTGACCAGTATTAAACTTGTGGACCAGACCAATCAAATTATTAATATCAAATGGATCAATTGAACTTAGTATTTGAACCAATTGGACATATACCCAATTTCAATTAAAAAATATGTCTACTTAGACCAATTGACAACATTGGTTAAATTGATTGACCAGACTATGCCAGCTCTGATTATAGAGAACAATTCAAGATAATTAATTTTTAATGTCAATATGAACAGTATATGGAACTATGCCGGTGTATCAGTTAAACACAAGATCGATAATCTTAATTTAAATGTATCATGCCTTGAATGGGAATCTAGATCAGATAGGCTTGTATGTATTTTTTTTCTTTTTTTGTTAAAAAAAAATATTGAGTATTAGATTTTAGGGGATTCAGGTTCTCAATAGTATAGGCTGTCATAAGGCTTGAATATTGCACTAATGATGAAATGTATCAATCTAACATATAAATAATAATTGTTAATAGTTTTTAATGGGCACAGATGAAAGATTTGTTAAAATATATAATAAAGAGTCTCAATCTATTGTTCATGATTTTCAAATGGATGAACAATTTCCAAGGTACGTAATAAATGAGGATATTAAATTTTACTTCTTAATTACATTGTATCACAAATAATATTATAATAATGCTATAGGGTAAAACAGATAAATTGTTCACCAGTAGAACCATTATTTGCATGTTCAAGTTCATCTAAAGGAGTTGTTGATGGACTGAATAATGTTAATGGATCATTGATAACATGGAATTTAAAGACAATGATGATACAAGTATGAATTATTTATTATGGATATAAAATATACAATCTAGGCGGATAATATATGAATGAAATTTTGTTTATTTAACGTTATAGGACAAATTTACGCTTGAACCATCTATATCAAAAGCTTCAGGATTGCCTGTAGTTCCTATAGAGACACTACAATTCAATCACAACGGTCAGATTCTTGTTACTGGTGATAAAGCTGGATGTGTACGTATATTTGGTACGTATTTACTTTATGATATTTTATTCATTTCGATAAAAATTTTATTTCATAATGATTACGTAATTAAAAGATTAATGTATATTTTAAATTATAATGATAGATATTCGATCTTTCAAGCCTATAATGGAATGGTGCTTACCGAAAATAATAAACAATTCTTCAAGCAAAAAAGGAAATAGTGCTATTTACTCAGCACGATTTAGTTTTGATGAAAACACCGTATATGTCGTTGATGAGGCTGGTGATGTAAGGTTTAAAAACTGTATAAAGTCACATTTACATACATTTACATAGACATTTTAATTCATATATAAATAATTCACTTATATAGCTAACGCAATGGTCCATTCACAAACCGGGCTCAATAATCTCTCAATCTAATCTTTCTGGCTTTCCACCTTCTTCGGTATCAATAAACCATGCGACATTAACAAAACCGTCGTTTCGTAAGAGGACATCTTCAATGTCTTCAATTAGATCTACTAAATCTAACAAGTCTTTTAATGGAAGTTACAATTTAATAACTAACGTAATTGGAGGTGGATTGACAAATGGTGGAACTAATGGTTTTACAACCAATGGAAGTTTGAATAAAGTACCTATGGTTTCGTTTAGCAGTGATACAAAACATGTTTTGTGTGTTGGCGGAAATGGATTTCAGGGTGTTATTTATCAAGTAAGATATCTTCAAATTAATTGGTATTTATTTTACGCAAGTCATTTAAGAATATATGAATTGTATGATTGTGTACACTATAATTTTCTTAAAATGACTTTTCGAAAACTCATTATTATTATTATTATTATTACTATTATTAATTATATGTTTAACTGTTTTTGGTAAAATAGACATCAACAGGAAATCAGGTTCAATTATTAGCACCACATAGTTCGCCCTTAACAGTTGTTGATTGGACAACTATGGTTGGAAATTCCGTATTAACTGGCGCGATGGACGGATCCGTGAGAGTCACCAAAATGTTTACCGATGGGTCTACATAACCATCAAATTATTAAAATATTATTCGAATCAAAAATGAGTGTGAAATTTTTTAGGCTGATTGGAATTTTTGGAGTAATGGGTGTTTTTAAAAAGTAAGATTCATTTATTTTTGAGTTATCCCTTTTATAAATATATATATATATTTCAGTCAATTATCGATATAACGAAAAACCCTTACACCGGATCCACCGGTTTAAAGGTCTAAATTTGAAGTACCAAACGTTTTAATAGGAAATTTAGAACGGCTATTACGAATTCAATAGCAAAAAATGTCATATTATGTATAATAGACATTTTTGCCAGTCCACTTTAATATCTGTCAAGCCTATTTCGTTATATAGATTTAACGAATATGCTGTAAGAACGACCGTTTAAATACATAGATGATTCCGATATAGTTACACATGATTGAATCAGGTTGCAAAAAAAAAGTTAAGATTCATGAGGATTCAAAGAATATGTTATAAAGCGAAGCGAAACACCATTAATTCATCCGTTAATTTACTCTCCTTTCATAGAAAGTTAAGCTATCCGAGCTTTTAAAAGAAGTATTGTAAAAATATATATATATATTTATCATGTGTAACCATATCGGAATTATCTACGTACGAACGTACGTACGTACGTACGTATTTGAACGGTCGCTCCCGTTATGCTGTATAACGGCCAGTCCAGTCTTCCATTATATCGATAGTTGACTGTAATCATAAAACCCATCTAACGAGATATTTATTGTTTTATTCTATTCATTATTAGTGTCATGTTTTACTACTTACCGAATCATAAGCAAAACAATAATATTGATATTATGCATTTCAAAAATATTTATATATTTATATTTTAACATAAGCATTTTTGGTTTTTTATTTTATTTTATTTTTTTTTTAAATCATCCATTTCTTTTTTCATTCTGTCAAAGTTACTCAAACCTCTCTAAATTCAGCCTTCATAAATGTATTTTTATTTATAAAAATATTTCCTAGATGTCAAGTCCTCAAATAATATAACATTTGTGGGTTTAACATTTTAAATGCAATACCTTTCTCTAAATGCATGTTTGATCGATTTTTTTTGTCCCATTACATTTCATTTCATTTCATTTCATTTAGAGAGATTTGACTGTAAATTTAAAAATTTAACATTCTTCATTATTCAGCATACAATAAATTTTATCTTTTTTTTCATACAAAGTCACTATTTCAAATTGGTACAAAATTTTATTCGATCCATTTCTTTTTATCGTGTGAAAACAAGATCGAATGCCTATACTTAAATACAAGAACGATTAACTACAGTATATTAGGATTTTTCATGTTCAATTATAATTATCTGCTTACAATCAGTTAGGTTCTGTATTCTTCCTCTGGCTCACTATGATAATTGCATAAGTAAGGCCATGCAAAGATAATTAATTGGTTCTCATAACCCGGCCAGATCAAATTTTGAAAATTTTTAATATGTTTTATTAACCTGGTGAGCTTTTAAAAAAATTATTTTTAGAAAAATTTATAAATTGTTATAACATATATAAAATTAAAAAAAAAAGTCAGTCGACCGGGTCTATTTTAAAAGTTTCATGTTACGAGAACCAATACAGTAAATTAAGTCGTGTGGCCTAATAAACGATTTTGGTTTATTGATTGTAACTATTTTGTATAAACTTCACATTTGTTTTCAACATTCATATTTTTTTTACAAATCATAGTTTTAAAACTTATTTTTCACACTTTATTAAAACGATTCCGAATTAACAATAAATTTATTACGTAAACTACATGCATCATAAGTAATCAAAAAAATAGAAAATTTCTAAATTTACTGTACACGGGTACTGTATTAATCGATTTACTTATTTGCGCCGGTGATACAAACCAAAAAAGGAAAAAAACAAAAAATATCCTTTTTTATTGGCACAA